CCTCCCCAGCAGGCTGCCTGGCGGGACCTGGGCTCACAGCTGCTGAGGCTCACAGGGACATAAATCATGGTGGCAGGAGGCTTGGGGGCTGGGAACACCTTAGCCTCCCAAAGGGCACGGGGGCCTGAGAGTCATGGGCAGGGATGCCTGGGTCCACTGGGGATATTTCCCATCCTCTGTTGGAGCAGCTGAAGTGAGGGAGGGTCAAGGGCCAGGACACCATCTGGCCAGCCTTACCTCCTAGTGGGCCAAAATCTCGATCTCACCTTTTCATTCTGCAATCATTTACAAACATACAGAGAAATGACAAAAGTAGTACAGAAAACTCCCATATACCCTCTAACCTGGATTCAACAAGTTCGAACAGTTGGTCACATCTGCCATATCCTTCTCTCACACATTATTTTCGGAACCATTTGAGAGTATGTCACCTCCATCGCGTTCCTCTACCCTTTGTAATACTTCAGAGCACAGGAGACCCTCTTACATAATCATACTATTAGCAAATTCAGAAAATGTAACATTGACACATACTTTTAAAACCTGTCGTTCTTATTCTAATTTTGTCAACTACCTAATAACGTTCTCTGTAGCATTTCCCCCCCCGCAGTACAGGATCTAGTCCAGGATTATGTGTTGCATTTTGATGTCCAGGTCTAGATTTTTTTGTTAATCCTCACCCGAGGATATTTTTTCCATTGATGTTTAGAGAGAGTGGAAGGAAGGGAGGGAGAGGGAGAGGGAGAAAGAGAGAAACATCGATGCGAGAGAGACACATCAATTGGTCAGTTGCCTCCCACACCAGCCCCGATGGACTGGGGCCAGGGATTGAACCCACAACCCAGGTATGTGCCCTTGACTGGGAATCAAACCCACGACCCTCTGGTGTATAGGCCAATGCTCCAACCACTGAGCCACATCGGCCAGGGCCAGGTCTAGATTTTTGATATTGTGTCTACATGAAGTAAAACCCCGCAGACAGGGTCGAATAAAGACATTCAACTTTATGTGGATGTCCTAACGTTTTCGGAAATCCTATACTGAATGTTCTCATGGTAATGCATTATACTTGTGTATGGGTGCTTAGGAGTTAACTTACCAAATATGCCATAGTTTTTGGAATTCTGTTTTGTGGTGTTTTTATTTTTATTTTTAAAATTTAATAGGAGCCTTATAAAATGGAAGTGGCCTGGGCCAATGAGGGGAACTTAATGAGGTGGGGAGGCCCTGGCCTGGAGAAAGGAGCTCTGCATTCTCAGCCCTGCTCGGCTCCAAATGCTGTATGACTGTGGTGCACCTCTGTCCCTCTCTGGGCTTTGGTTTCCCCATTGCCATTGGTAATCGCTGAGGCCTTTCCACTTGTAATTGTGGAATTAGGGAGGGAGCCCTATATGCTCCTTTAGAGGAAGAAGACCTTGGTTCCCAGAGGCCCAGCAGGTTGCTTCCACTGTATTGGCCAAGTATCCTTGACGGACTCTAGATCATTCTTGTTCATGCTGATGCTCCTTGTGTCTAAGAAGGTTGGGTGGATGTGACCTGGAATTCTATAAGCCTCCCGTTCAGGGTCCCAGGTGACCTGGCTGAAGTTGGTCATCCACTCCCTCGACCCTGAGTTTCTTTTCCCTGTGTTCCTTGACTCCTCTGGCTCTGAGTCACCCTCACTCAGGGAGCCTGGGGAAGCTCGGCTGGGCTGGCCCGTCCTGAAGGCAGAATGTGTGTGTGTTGGGGGCAGGGGTGTTAGCCAAATGGCCCCCAGAGGTACTGGTCCGCAGCTGTGCTTCTCCCAAGTCACATGTGTTGGGTTGGCCTTGCAACTCACAAAGGCTCATAGACATTAACTGTCTATTACCCAGGAACTCAGGAAGATGGCAAGCTGCAACATGTGCAGAATGGAACACTATGCAGCTGGGAAAAGCAGCTCTTTTAACACCGAAGTCTCCAAGATGTATTGCTAAGCAAAAAACTGCAGAACAGTGTGTAAAATGCTATTACTTGTGTGAAAAAAACTGTATGTGACTTGCCTGTATCTGCAAAGACAATCTGGGCAGGAATCCTCAAGACCCTGGTTAACAGTAAATTGCCTCTGAGAGCTAGAACTGAGTGGGTGGGAGGGATGTTGATTCTCTATTGTGTCTTCTGAACTGTGAACTCTCTAAGTGCATTATCTACTTCAAAGGAAATGCAATGGAAAGAACCCAGTCTGAGCAGGACTGCAAGAGGGGCTCCTGGGATGCTCCTAATAGCATTTCTTGGTCTGTATGCTGGGTATATAGGTGCGCTCAGCTTGTGCAAACTCATCGTGCTGTACACTTAGAGGCATGTGCACTTTCCTGCATGTATGTTACACTTAGATTAAAAGTTTTAATTTCGTATGCTGTAAATTATTGTGTGTGTTTCACAAGAATATTGCAGGATTCGTGTTAACTGTGCTTATCTTTGGGATAGGTGATATCTCTAGGGTCTTGTAGCATTTGATCCTTTTACAATGAAAATATAAGCAGAGAAACCTATAAATACTTTTTCAGAAACAGTCATCAGTATAGAACATTTCCGGAAGGACACACAGGAAACTGCTAACAGCAGTTGTCTTTGGGGAGGAGCCTGAGGGAGGTATGTGCTTTTCACTGCATACTATTGGATACGATTGTAATTATTTACCCAGTGCATAAATGGTCTATTAAAACTATTTGACAAGGCAAAACAAATACTTATCATTTTGTCCCATCTGTTTTTGCTGGTTAGAGATCAGGCTAAGTAGTCCCAGAGGGGTCAAACCACTTTTCAGAGGTCACCCAGCAAATCTGATGGCAACAGTGGGCCTCCAGCCCAGGGCACCCAAGTGTCTGCTCGGTCCCCCCCCACTCCCAGGTTTCCTGCCATTGACGAGGTCACAGTCCTTTTCCTGTGGCTTTGCCAGGGGCTGCCTGGACCTGGACCCGGACCCAGGCAGGCGCAGGGAGTGCAATGTGCTTTCCTAATTAGCTCCCGAAGGGGGAAGCACAACTGGATAGGAACATTAGTGTCCCTGGAACACTGGGGAAGCAAGGTAGAGGGCACTTGGAAAGCTGTCCTGGGCAGGCCCCAGGCCCCTTGGGGCCCTCCTTTCTTTACTTCTTATACCAAAGGGACTAGTGCAGTGGTTTCACAGGCCACTCCAATCTGGACTGGCAACTCCAGGGACCCCTTTGTTCTCCTGGGGTCTGTTTGTCTGAGGTAGATGGGGTGGGTGTGGCCCACCCCTGTGGTATCTGGCACAGTGAGGGTGCTGGGTAATGTCTGTTGATGTGCAAAATGGGCAGCCCCACTTCAGGCTGTCAGGGGGGTCAAATGCAGGGGGTGGCACAGCACAATAGATATGAGTGTGGACTTTGGAGCCAGGCTTCAGTCAGTAAACAATCTGAAAGGGTTTCCTAAATGAATTTAAAGAATAGGCATATGAGCGTACCTTGAGGAAGGGTGCTGCCTGGCTCCGCCGCCTCCCTGGCTCCTCTGCCTGTCTTCCCCTCTCCAGCCTCCTGAGCTTCTCTGATCCTGGCTGCACAGGGACAGAGCCCCAGCCGGAGAGCCAAGAACTCCCAACTCCACTGACCAGCTGCCTCACTCTGTCAGTTGAATCCGTGAAATGGGGAAACACCAACCCCCACCTTCTAGGGCTGCTGGGAGAATTGCTGGGGTCCCAGGGGCTGGCATTGCATCTGGCGCACCGCCAGCAGGGGAAGGAGCTCACTAGGTGGTCGGACCTCACAATGTCACCCTGCCATATGCCGCAGGTGTCATCAGTCCTCCAAACCATCTCAATTAAAACAGGGGTAAGAATATCTCCTTTTAACACACGTGAAAAATGGTGTGCCTACACAACCGTTTGTCAAAACAGGAATGAGAGATGGGTTCAGGAGTAGGCATACCTCGTTTTATTGCGCGTCGCTTTAGAGCGCTGCAGAGACGTTTTCTGAAGGTAAGACCTTCCACTAGCAAAAAGATTATGACTCGCTTTATCGCGATCCTTGCTTTATTGTGGTGGCTTGGAACCGAACGTGCAGTATCTCTGAGGTATGCCTGTGTGGAACATTCATAAAGTGGAATAAGCAGCAGCTGAAGGAATAAGGAGACCCTGTACCTCTGTGTTCTGATTTGAGATGACAGCCAAGTTAGATGAAAAAACCAAAACCAAACCAAACCAAAAAAAGCCAGGAGCAGAAAGCATGTGTAATGTGCTACTGTTTGTATAAAAAGTGGGAGAAAAAAAATTTCCCCTGCATTTGCTTGGTTATTCATAGGGAATGGGGACATCATACAAAACGGGTGGCTGAGGCTGCCTGCACAGAGAACTGGTAGGTGGAGGACAGGAGGTGACTGTTAGTGACACTCTCTGTCACCAAGTCTTTGTTTTTACCATATACCCTCTTGTACCTTTTGAATTTTGAACCATATGAGTGAATATATTCCTTATTCAAGAGGAATTTCTTTACCAACCACACCAGACACCTAACAGGTGCTCAAGAAGACTGTGAGGAAAGTTTGGTTATCTCGACTTCTAGGGTCTTCCTGTATTCTCCCAGCCCACTCCCTCCAGGGCACAGGGCAGCACCTGTGACAGTTGTGCCTCTGCAAGGTCCAGGAGAGGAGTCACCTCTGACCTTTGATGTCCCCAGGCCCTTCCCTTCCTCAGTTGGGAACATCTTTTATTTAAAAATATCTTTTATTTTAAACCCACCAATTCTTTCTCTCTCTTTCACACACACACACATACACACTCACTCATGCACAGACATGCATACACCCTCTGTCACCAAGAGTCTTTGTTTTCCCAAAAGTTCTGCCTTGTCTCTGACCAGCCAGGGCTGGGCCAGCTGGATGGGTCTTCACAGCTCTCCAGGGTGGGGAAGAGATGTCCTAGGGGCCCTATCCAGAGGGTCAAGGGCCCAAGCCTTTGTCCTCTGGTCCCTACACAAACGAGGGGTAGGATCGGCTCCTGGGGTCTTCTCCCCTGTTCAACCAGTGGCTGGCCTCTGGCCTCCTTCTCCAGGGTCCTGCTTGGAGCAAATGTCACTGGGGTCCAGGCTCATCTCCGTGGCACTCGAAGAGGGGCCACACCCCTCACCTTCAAGCAGCTGCCTCCCAGGTCACGACGGCCACCCTACAGGAGGGGAGAAACAAGTATTAGGAGGTTTGATCGGATCACTGTGAACACAGCAACTAACCTCCGTGTCCAGTAATAGGGGACTTGATAAATAAATCACAGCTGCACAATAAAGCTCTCTGCAGCATAAGGCAGAAGAAACTATATGAACTGATATGAAATGATGTCGAGATAACATTATTTAAGGACAAAAGCACATAGGAACTTGTGTGCTGAGATGTCGAGAGAGAAAAGTACACAAGAAATTGCTAATAGGTTTCTTCAGAGAACAGGAATTTGATGATGGGGAGACAGAATGTGAGAGACATTTTTACTGTTTTCATTTCTTCCCCATGTGATGTTGCTTTTTAAAAGAATCTAATACATTAAGAATCATAATATTTTACACCAAAGGGCAAAACAAAGCCACTAGTGGTTATCTCCACTGCCTAGTTAACCACTCATTGACCTCAAAAGTAGACTATGGATTTCTCCTCCCAGCCTTGAATCAGGGTGTTCCCTTTGCCAGGAAATATGCTCTCTGCTCCTGTCTCCCTGGGAAGGTTTCTCGATTCCTGCAATTGGCTAGCACTTCCTGCCTTTCCGGGGACATTCCACCAGGCTAACTCAGAAGGGGAAAGACTGGGTTTCTCTTTGTCTCCATCAGGCTGGGAGCTCAGGGAATGTTCTCCACTCTGTGACCCCAGTTCCAGCCCAGGGCCTGGCATGTAGCAGGTGCCAATTAATACTGCTTGAATCAGTTGTGCCCAGTGGAAGATGAGCTAATGGTGACAGCCCCAGAAGCCACCTGTCCTTCACCCAACAGGAGCAGTCTCTACCCAATATTCTGAGGTCTGACACGTGGCTTTCATCCTCACTGCAAGCCTTCAAGGTCACAGACATTAAAGGCCCCCAGCTGTTGAATGACTGGCCCAGAGGCACCCAGCCAGTTGGTAAAAGGGCTGGGTTGGAAATCCATGTTGTCCAACAGTATGTCTTATTTCCAGGACATAATGGTGTCTGAAATCCCACTGTACATTCTCACCCTCTGAGCCTTGCTAGGAGGTGATGAGACAGGCATCTTTCTCAGCCATCTAGAGACTTAGCTGGCCATCTGGGAGCTCTGCCCCCTGCTCCCCTCCGCCCCTGGGCCCAGGTTGGGGCAGATCCATCCAGATGTGAGCCCAGCCTCCCTTGAGGCTCTCTGGGCCCAGGGACAGCATGTTCATTCACAGGCAGGGCTATTTTGAGGGCTGAGGCCACAGTCCCAGCAGAGCCTGGGGCTTGGGCTTCTCAGACAAACTCTGGCAGGAGTGTCTGAGGAGGAGGGGTGGGGGTGGGGGAGGAGGGCTTAGTGTTGAGGATGGGGGAAAGAAAACCAGTCTCCCACCTTTCACTCTGTGTCCTCAGGGAAAGCCACCTCCACTCCGAGTCTGGTGGTCATGGAGAGACCTCAGTCCCATGAGAATGCTGGGACTGTACACCTTCCTGAACCTCAGTTTCTTCATCTATGAAATGGGGACAAAATTATTCTACTTGCAAATGCAGCTGTGGAAGGGGCGTATAAACTGCCAAAAGCACTTGAAGAAGCCCTGACTAGGCTCAGCTTCTTTGTGTCTTAGGAACTCAGCGCCAAAGGCTCTGGGAAGCACAGTGGTTAGGGGTTGGGCTCCAGTGAGACAGAGCTGAGCTTCAATCTCTGCTATGCCTTGGACTACCTACTGGACCTCAGGCAAGTGACTTCACCTCACCTGTTTCCCCATGTGTAAAGTGGAGTTATTGTGTGGATTGTACATGCTCACTCACGTAAAGCCCTAAAGCACAGTGTCAGAAACATAGTAAGTATTCAGTGTTCACAAGTATTATTATCAGCATCATCCAGTAATGGCACCTCCTCACCCTAATGCCCTCTGTGCCACTTCTGCTCCTGAGCTGGGTACATCACTGGGAAAGGCCTTATAAGATGGTCCTATCCCACCCTCATCCCCAGGTGACAAAAGGGGAAACAGGGCAGAGACAAACACCTCCTTTCATTTTTTTTTTAATCCTCACTCGAGGACATTTCTCCATTTTTTGTTCAGATAGAGTGGGAGGGAGAGAGAGGAAGAGAGAGAGAGAGAGAGAGAGAGAGAGAGAGAGAGAGAGAGAGAGAAACATCGACGTGAAAGAGACACATCGAGTGGCTGCCACCCGTATGACCAACCAGGGCCGGGGACAAACTGCAACTGAGGTTCGTGCCCTTAGTGGGAACTGAAGCCGGGTTTCTCTGGACCGCAGGCTGATGCTCTAACCACGGAGCCAAACCCGCCAGGACCAAACACCTCCTTTCTATCTCCCACTTGCTATTTCTACTACAGAGTACCACACCTAACCCCTCCTTACACAGAAAGATGCTCCAGGGAGCTGTTTCCATGGTGACCTCAACACCAGACCAGCCACTTGGGAGGGAAGTGGTGGCTCACAGTGAAGAGACAGGGTCTGGAGTCTTGGAGTTCTCTGGCCCCCAAGCTCAGAATGGAGCCTCCCAGGGGTTCCCCAAGACAGCCAGTTTTCTTCCAATCAAGTCTTTGAGGGGCCAGAGCTGTCCAGCATGGCCCCTTTCACCCATTCCCAGAGGAGCCTGTGGAGTTGAGGGCATGGCTTCTGTAGCCAAATTTGGCTGGGTTCTGGGTCCTGGGTCCTGTAACAGATCCCAGGGAAGCAGCCAGACCCAGGCAAGGGTTTGTGATCAGTGGGACAGACCTGAGACCAGTAGAGAAGCACCCCCAGCCCCCCTACCACGGAAACGTGATAGACACACCTTCTGCCCCATGCCTGCAGTTACAGGCCCTCCCACATGAACTTTCCCACGTCCCCATCACGCAGGCCTGAGTTCGAATCCTGACCCCATCATGAGCTGTGTCTCTGAACCAGTGACAGCATTTTTCAGCAGGTGGGAATAACCAGAGCACCTCTTTTCCAGGTTGCTGAGTTTTAGTGATTACTTGTGAAGAGCACCTAGCACAGTAGATCAATGCTCATCAAGACTGCTGTGATTGCTGTCACTGGCCAGTCTCTGCCTCTCCTGTGTACCTCACCACCTTCAACATCTTTCCTTTTCCTTCTCTAGGTCATGTTTCTGACCCCAACTCTTGCTGTGTCCTGCTTCCAGAACACCTGTCCCTACACCCTCATCCACCTGCCTTCATTCCCAAGCATCCACCAGGAACTTAGCTCACCAGCTGGGGACTACCTCTGGGCTCTGACAGGCCTCTTGTGCTCCCTCTCCCCACCATCAGGCTGCAGCATCCCTATCCTCAACTCCTTGCCCTTGGCCCTGACACCACACTGGGAGTTCCTGATTATGGTGCGTGAGGATTCATAACCTGCATCTTTGGGAATGTTCTGAGCTGACAAAAGGCAGCTGTTGGGTAGCTAAGGTTTGCGGAACTGAATGAATGGGTGAAAAGCAGTCAGGGAGTATCACTGAGGAGCCTCCACAGCCTAGGCTGAACTTTTGAAGGCCCACTCCAACTTCCCAACCCAGTCAGAAGCACTGACTGGGGCCCACAGCAGAGAGCAGCAGAGACCCTCAAGAAAATACAAGTCTGAGCCTAAGAAGACTAACTTAGGGAAACTGAGGCAGCTATGAGGGTAAGAGGCCAGAATGGGAGTCTGATAAGCCAGAAAGGGGTGGTCTGAGGCCAGGACACTGAGGCTTCCCCAGAACAGAGTGGAGCAGGGGACCTCGGGCAGCCATGAGAACCAAAGATTGGGGAACTTGGAGGTCTGACTCCAATCCCCCATGCCCTTTCATTTTTGAAAGGGCGATGGGCCATGCTCAGCCTCCATTTCCCCAGACATACATGGTAGCTGCTGGAATCCAAAGTGGTCACACAGGTCAGAGTCCTTACTGTAAGAAAAACCCAGGTCAGAAGGGAAAAAGGCTGGTAATGAAGCAGGCTCCTTGGGGCTTGGACAGGAAAAGAACCAGCTTTTATTTTATTTTATTTTTTTTATCCTCACCTGAGGACATTTTTCCATTTTTTGTTCAGATCAATGCTCAGAGGGAGAGAGAGGAAGAGAAAGAGAGAGAAAAACATTGACGTGAAAGGGACACAGTGAGTGGCTGCCACCCGCACAACCCAACCAGGGCCGGGACAAACTGCAACAGAGGTACGTGCCCTTAGCGGGAACCGAACCTGGGTCACAGTGAGTGGTTGCCACCCGCACAACCCAACCAGGGCCGGGGACAAACTGCAACAGAGGTACGTGCCCTTAGCGGGAACCGAACCTGGGTCTCTCCGGACCACAGGCCAATGCTCTAACCGCTGAGCCAAACTGGCCAGGGCGAAAAACCAGCTTTTAGCCAGAAGAGCCTCCTGGCAACCTCTGCTGCTACCTAGCTCCATCCATCCCCTACCAGCCTGTTTCTCATCCTTACTCAGCTTAACTCCAGCTCTGCCAAGCTGACTCAACAGTGCCCTCCCCCAACACTGCATCCCTTTTGGAGTTGGGCGTCCTAAGGGGACCCCTCTTCTTCACTCCTACTGCTCATCCGCTGGGTACCTCAGGCTCCTGGTTGCAGGTATGCATCCCCTTTTCTTCTCAGTCTCCTGCTCTTGGATGACATCTTTGGATAGGAGACAACTGTTCCAAGGTCAGGGTAGCTAAGGGCCACACACACCAAGCAAGCCCAGAACCTGCCTCTGGCTTCCCCGCAGAGTAAGTGCGGGCATGTGATTACACCTCTTTGAGCCTTAGAGACACACAGGTGGGATCACTACCTGCCTGATGGAGTTCTTGTGAAGGTGAAAAACAGATGACCAGTAAAGCACCTGGTACATAGGAAGAGCTCACTAAATGACGACTTTAGTTATTACTTCCTCATGCTCTCTTCCTAGCTCTCTTTGGTTGGGGGGCAGGTGTCACTCGATGAATTTTTAATGCAATACCTGACTATTTAATCAGGGGTTCTGACTTATTTTCTCTTAGATTGTTAAGTTAAAAAAAAAAAAAATGACAACAGCCAACACAATAGACATCTGGTGTGAATGAATCAAAATTATACCTATTTTTTTTTTTTTCGTCAGATCGGCAAAAAATATATTTTTTGGTGTGCCTCAAAATTTTAGTAATTAGTTTGTGTGTGCCATGAGATGAAAAAGGTTGAAAACAGCTGCTCTGAATCATTTTGAGTTTTGGGCTTCCCTGCACCCCTTCTCATTGGGAGACATTAAGCGAATGGTTCTGTTCCATTCCAAACCCTGGGCTTGGAGCACCACACGCCCGACGAACTCCACCTCATGTCCCGCTTTCTTCACTGGGGTCTCTGGGCCTCCTTTGCTCCTGGGAGGCCCAGCCCTCCCCCGGCCCCCCCATCCGGGTCTCCCTCCACCTGGAGGCCGCCGTACTAGGGCGCCACGCACTCACCCCCTTGCGCTGGTTGCTGAGGCAGAAGGTGCAGATGGAGCGTGGCTGTCGGCCGCCGTCGGGGGCGGCGGGGGCCGCGCTCTTGGCACTGCCGGCCGCTCGGAAGCACGGCTGCCCGTCTTCGGCCGCGTCGCCCAGCAGCAGCACGTTGGCCAGGTGCGCGATGTAGCTGGACGCCAGGCGCAAGGTCTCGATCTTGGACAACTTGCGGTCCACCGGCTCAGTGGGGATGAGCGTGCGTAGCGCCGTGAAGGCCGTGTTCACGCTCTGCGTGCGGTCCCGCTCCCGCGCGTTAGCTGCCTGTCGCTGTCGCACCACCACTACCGGGCCCGCGCCGCCGCCCGCCCGCCGCCCACCCCCGGGGCCCGGGCCGCGCCGCGCCGCCTCCAGGCCCTCGCAGCAGCCAAATGACTGGTCAGAGGCGTCGCTCTCGCTGCGGTTCTCCTCGTCCTCGCTCAGCAGCCGCACGTCCGGGTACAGCACGTGCGCGCCGACGGGGCGCAGCAGCGCGAACGCCATGGGCACTCGGTCGCGTCCCTCCGTGCGCTGCGTCCCAGCCTTGGCCGCGCCCCGCCGTGCGCTCCCGCGCGCTCCCACGGCACCGCCGGCCACCGCCTTATAGCCGAGGGAGGGGCCAACCACGCGGCCGCCCCGGCCCGAGCGGGTGGGCTCCATCCTGGCCAATGAGGACGCGCCCGCCGTGCCCCGACCAATGGCGAGTCGCTTGCCGCCCCCGTTCCCCAGGTTGAAAGCGGCCCGGGAGCTAGTGGCCCGCCCTGAAGGCTCCCAGTCCTCGCGGGCGAGCGGGGCATATACCGGGAGCCTGGATGAGTCGGGTGGCGTGTGCGCAAAAACGGACTCGGTACCAGCACCCTAAACCTCTAGAGAGACTGCGAGCAGGTCCCTTCTCTCTGGGCTTCAGTTCCCTCGTTCGGAAAGAGTATTGGGAGAAACCATCTCGGGTTTTTATGTCCTCAAATTCTAATCCTGTGGCTCTGAAACTTTTCTTGTGTATGAATTGGGAAAGCGGGGCGGGGGGTGAGGGGTGGGGAAAGCTTTAACAGTACAGATTCCCAATTCCTCCCATACTGATCCAGCAGGTCTGGAATGGGGCCCAGGAATCTGCAATGCGTACACGATGATAATGTCTTGGAGAAACTTGGAGAAACACTATAATCTTTCTAAATAAGGGTTCAACAGTGCCACATCCCAGATGACAGACTTAAAAATCAACAGAAACAAAGCAAAGCAAAAACAAAACACAAACACCAGTAGCTTCATTCATTCATTCATTCATTCATTCATTCAACAAATATTTCTTAGGTCCCCACTATGTCAGGCATGGTTTCAAGTCTAAGGACACAGACTTAAAACAAACTCTTTGCCTTCACAGAGCTGACATTTTGATTGAGGTCCTACTGTGTGCTGCACACCAGACAGACGCTTTACTGATCTTTGGTGTTCCTCACTGAAGTTGTGGGGGAGTACCCCTGATTTCCAGATAAGAATTCTGGCCTTCAGTCTTATAAGTGGTGAATATGGGCACTGGCCACAGCCTGTCTGGCTTCACTATAACCCCCATCTCTCACCCCTACCCTTCACATCAGTTTCTCTCCCTCACTCCTCACAGTCCCACCTTGGACAGCTGCAGACTCCCTGACTCCTATATACACCTCCCACCCTCTCCCCAGGCTGTTCCCTCTGCTTGGAATGCCACCCCCACCAACACACACACACACACACACACACTCTCTCTCTCTCTCTCTCTCTCTCTCTCACACACACTCACACACAAGCTATCTTCCTTCAGGAAACCTTAGATTGTTCAGCCTGACATGTCATCCTCCTTAGAGGCCCTGGGAAGAATTACTGAGCTGATGACGGCTGCTGGGGTCCCTGCACCACTCATGCCCCCTTTCCAGCTCTGTCCTGGGGACTGGCCAAGCCTGCATCCACTTGGCCTGGACAAGAACTTTCTTTTCTGTCCAGATGGCAGCTTACATGGCAGAGAGAGCACAGGGAGTGGAGTTGAAAGTCTTCTAGGTGCTTTCTGGCTCCATTTTTCTTCCTTTCTTGAAGATGCCTCCCAGCTCTGCCATGTGGTGCTTTTCCGACTTCCTTGACCCAGGCCAGAATGGGGGAGGGAGGACTGGAGGGTGTCCCTTGGCTGCTGGGAGAGTGAGTATTCAGGCTCCAGTGTCTTCTGAAAAGTCTCTTCCCACACCTGGCTCCCCCTACCCCTTCATTTGACCATGACCTTGGCCAGGCTGGGCTTTGCTGAGTAGGAGAAGGAGGTTGCACAGCCCCCTCTCCACAGGGCCAGTCACACATGCAGCCCCAGGCCAGGCTGCTGCTTCCTGAGCAGATGAATTATTACCGGGAGATTTCCTTCCCTGTCTGCGCCTCCTTACAGGGGCTCCCAGCTCCCTTCACTTTCGCTTTCTCCCCCTTCTCCCCCTCTCTTCAGCTCTCCATCTTCAGGTGGCTTGGAATTTCTCTGTCCAGCCCCTTCCCCATTCCAGCTTAATGGGAAAAGCCAAACAGGGCGTGAACTGGGCCCCCAAGGGAAGGCTGGAGGGGCAGATTTGGTAGGCTCATTCATGCATTTGCTTCTCAGGCAAGTTTTGACACATGGGACCCCGGGAGTAAAATAAAACCATGAATGAGACTGAGTCTGGCCTTCTGCAGTCCAAAGGGGAAGGCAAATTGTAAACAAAGAATTTCAGGACAATGTGGTAGGAGCAAGCCAGGGTCTGGCATCGGAGACACTGGATTCCGGCCCAAGGCAAGCTGCCTTTTGAAGTCTCAGTTTCCTGCTCTGAAAACCGAAAAATAGTACCCATTAGTAGGGCTGGTGGGTACTTGAGTTCATGCCAAAAAAACCAGGGCCAGATACACTCACCACTTGAGAGGAGTTTGTAATGGTGTAGTGAGGGGCGGGCGCCAGGCCAAGGAGCAGCTTTGACTCCATTCTAGGCTTTGTCCCCTAGGAGTAGGGAAGGGGTCCTGCCACATTCTAGCTCACCCACACAAGAGGCTTCAGCTCCTTCTGTCCTCTGTTCCTCACTCTGCTCTAGTCACACTGGCCTTCTCACTGACCCTGGAGCCCACCTCTGCTTGGTATGCCCTCTTCCCAGATATTGCCATAGCTTATTTCCTTACTTCTTTCCAGTTTTCCCTCCAATCTCATTTCCTCAGGGAGGCCTTCCCTGTCCACCGGGACTATACCAGCAACTGCCCCTTCCATCTCCCAGCACCCTTCTAGCGGCTCTCTTTCTCCCCTTTACCCTACTTTACTTCTTTCCACAGCATTTATCACTGCTTTCACCCACTCATCCACAACTATTAACTGAGCACCCACTATGTTCCCAGCACGATTCTTGGTTCTGGGACTATGGACGGGAACATGCTACATATTTATTTGTCCACTACAATATAAGCTTCATGGGACAGGGACTTTTATTTTGTTCATTTCACTCCCTTCTCATTACAACTTTCTGTGGTAGATACTATTTTTTATACCCATTTTACAGATGAAGAAACTGAGGTTCTGAGAGGAAAAAGTGACTTGCCTGAAGTCACACAGTGGGCCCGTGGAGGAGCTCAGGTCAGTTGGTCTCCTTTCCCAACCACACAACCTCTCAGGCAGCACAGAGGTGTGTGACGGCTGAGAGGAGCCCGCCAGGTGAGAGGAAGAGGGTCTTATAGGCTAAAAGGACAGCAGCTGGCCCCTGTCTTCCTGATGGGCACCCTGGGCTTCATTCCTGCTGAACCATGTGAGTTCCTTTGAGGCATCAGCTTTGCACATCTCTGAGCCTCTGCCCAGCTGTCCTCCTTGCTTGCAGTGCCCATCCCTTCAGGTCTGACCAGACATCTTTACTCAGCCGAAGTTCCGTAGCTTCTCAGTGCAGCCCACTTTGCTTCTCTTCCCCAACCTTGGTGCAGTCTTGTAGTGTTGATCACATTGTATTTTGACTTCTCTCCTTTCATCCCTGATTCCCCACTTCTACTTTTCTGCCCCCACAGGGCACCCATTCTAATATTTTATATTTTTAGAGCAATTTGGTTTACAGCAAAATTGAGAAGGTACAGAGATGTCCCCTATGCCCCCTGCCCCCATACATGGGCAGCCTTTCCAGTATCAACATCACTCACTCACCAGAGTGGTACATTAATAACGATGGCTGAATCTTCATTGACACATCATTATCACCCAGACTCCATAGTTCACATTATGGTTCCCTCTAGGTGTTGTACATTCTATGGGTTTGGGTAAATGTATACTGACATATACCTATCATATAGTATCATACAGAGTATTTTCACTGCCCTAAAAGTCCTTTGTGCTCTGCTTGTTCATGTACCCCCCATCCCTGAAACCACTGACCTTTTGTCTCCATAGTCTTGCCTTTTCTAGAATGTCCTATAGTTAAAATCGTACTGTGTGTAGCTTTTGCAGATTGACTTCTTTCACTCAGTAATACGCATTTATGTTTCTTCTATGTCTTTTCGTAGCTTGGTAGCTCATTTCCTTTTAGTGCTGAATAATATTCCATTGTCTGGATGTACTATAATTTATTTATCTATTCACCTACTGAAAAGCAGTATGGTTGCTTCCAAGTTTTGGCAATTATGAATAAAGCTGCAATAAACATCTGCAAGCAAGTTTGTTTTTTAATCCTCATCCAAGGACATGCTTAAAAAGAGGAGGCGAGAGAGAGAGAGAGAAACATCAGTCGGTTGCCTCCCTGACTGGGGATCAAACCTGCAGCCCAGGTATGTGCCCTGACTGGGAATCAAACTGGTAACTTTTCTGTTCATGAGATGGCTCTCAACCAACTGAGCCACTCCAGCTGGGCCATATGCAGGTTTCACAAGAAATGTGATTTCTGGATTATCTAATAAGAGTATGTTGAGTTTTATAAGAAACCACAAAACTGTCTTCTGAAGTAGCCATACCATTTTGCATTCTCACAGCAATAGATGAGAATTCCTGTTCCTCCACATTCTCACCAGCGTTTGGTGTTGTCAGTGTTCTGGGCTTTAGCCATTCTAAGTGGTACCTCATTTTTTTTTTTTTTTTCAGTTCTCACTCGAGGACATTCTCCCATTTTTTTGTTCAGATAGAGTAGGAGGGAGAGATAGAGAAAAACATCGACATGAAAGGGGTACATCTAGTGGCTGCCACCCGCATGACCCAACCAGGGCCGGGGACAAACCACAACCAAGGTACATGCCCTTAGTGGGAACTGAACCCAGGTCTCTCAGGACCGCAGGCCGACGCTCTATCTGCTGAGCCAAACCAGCCAGGGCTCTCTTTTTTTAAATGCAAGTGTTTTTAAAAATTTTTTCCCCTTTATTGATTTCAGAGAGAGAGGAAGGGAGAGGGAGAGAGATCCCATAGAAACATCAATGAGAGAGAACATTGATGGGCCACCTCCTGCATGCCCCCCACTGGGGATTGGGCCCACATCTTGGGCATGTGCCCTGACCAGGAATCCAACTGGCGACCTCTTGGT